TATATATATATATATTCTTAATGTCATTTCACACTATTTGGCATACATTAAACACATAATAAATGTATATTGGCTAAAAGTGTGCCTTTAGGATTAATTCCAAATTCTAGGCTGACACTCAAGTTATTTCAAAATTTAGCTCTTGTGAGAGGGAGCTGCTCCTGCTAGGCTGCCTATGCTCTAGTGGATGATCCTATATGATACACAGATTGGCAGCACCAATTGAACTCAGTAATTTAATAAAAGTGTACATGAGGTTGGGAGGGAGCTAGGGGACCTGGGAGGAGCTGGTGGTGGTGGGAGACTGAGGAGTAGATTTAATCAAAACACACTGTATATGTAAAGAAAAAATAAAAATTATATTTGAAGAACTCTGTCTCCAACCTATTATTTTTAGATGCACTTTCCACTTCCCTTTCTCACCTCCCACCCCAAGAAGAACTACATACACCAGGCACCCTGGACCACTTGTCCTTTCCTTTCTCTATGTGTTTTATCACTCCTGGAAATCTCATTCTTCTCTGGCAAGATTTTAGCTTTTGAAACATATGTACACCTTCTCTGCTCAGGTTACACCCATCTCTTTTTTCATTGTGATACCTCACTGTACACCATAGTGCATTACTTTTCAGTCTCTCCCCCTTCTCAAAGGCAAGGACTTGCTTTAATTTTCTTTGCTTCTTCAGTGCCTCCCTCAATACATCTTTCATTGACTGGAAAAGAAATAAGTTCAGTAACAGTTTAATAGATGAGTAGCTAGGAGTCCTCCCCACAAGCCCAGCTTTGGTAGCCCCCCCTTTCTCCCTCCTCCGTTTCTCCTCTTTTCTACCTCCACTCTATTTCCATTTCAATTTCAAAGCTATTAATCCCCAGGTAGCAGCTAGAACTCTTGACATCTTGGAAGTGAAATCCATTACAGAGTTTCTCTCCAACCCAAGGCATTCAGTAATTAATGACTCCTTAACCTCTTGGGGGTGGGCAGGCATTAGGGCCCTGGGCCCGTGAAAAGGGGTATGTTTATCTCTCTAGTCGCCTTCTGAGAAATTTTCCTCAATCTTTCCGCGTACTTGTTAGATGAATATCCCTATTCCCTTGCATTCCTCACTGTCTTTGACATAATTATCTGTAACATACTGATTTAAAATGCAGCTGCAGGAAGAGAAACAGGACTGTTTCGCTTGGCCTTCTGGGAGTTGTAGTCCCAGATGCCCTGGCGCGCCTGGCTGGCGTGGAATCCTAGGACTACAATTCCCAGGCCTTCTCCAAGCCATCCCGCACAGGCTCAGAGCCCCAAACCAGTAGGAGGTGGCTACATTGTATCTATTGTATCCCTTGGCTGGTGCATTTTTACATTTCCTTGGACCTGAAATTGAGAGTGAAAAGCATGGCAGATGAACAAGAAATTATGTGCAAATTGGAAAGCATCAAGGAAATCAGGTAAGCACTTCACTGCTTGAAGCAGCATCCCTCCGCCCTCCTAGATTCCCCCGCCTCTTCCCCCGCCCCTCGCTGAGAGCCAAGGGCTGTTACCTATGGAAACTGTCTATTGTTGGGCTACTTGCAAAGGGGAGGCGGAAAGGGGCCCATCGACCACAGACTTACAGGTGAGTTGAAAATTAAGGGAACTAGGATGGGTCGAAAACTAGAGGTGGAGAGGAGTGTGTGTAGAGGGAGGAGACTTCTTGCCAGATGAAGAAGAGAAAGCATAGAGGCAGTGAGGAACACAAGGGGCAGGTCTCAAGATAGCTTTATTCTTCTTGGTGTGGGAATCAGAGTTGCATTCGGGGATACATTTTTAAAAAACTACTTGTTGAGTACAAGTTGCCTTGGGCTTCTTGAGCTTTCAGAGTCAAGGATTTTCCAGGCAGTCTCCAGTTCAACTTCAGGACCTGTATCTCGGCAGAGACTTTTGAGAGCCAAGTCCATTCGTGTTGCAGCTTTCCTGTGGCTACCTGACTCGGAATGCACCTGAAACTCCCTGAGTGTGTGTGTGTGTGTGTGTGTGTGTGTGTGTGTGTGTTCCTATTCCTCTAACTCTTTAGCTACTTTCTTCCTATCCTGGGATTGGAAGGGGCAGGAGTCATATGGAGACTGAGAATGTGAATACACTTGCAGTGTTCTTGGTGGCATCATCTTAGCAGCTCTCAGGAGCTGGAGGTAAATGAGGTCTGGCAAAGTGGGAGCTGCCTGATAGCCAACAGGTTACCCAGTGAGTAGTTTTGATCCAGCAGTGATGTCCTTGCTCAGAAAACAATAGGGCCTGGAGGAATAGTGCAGGCCTCCCCTGCGATGCCTAAGACCTTGCATAGCGTAGTCTCTGGAGTGTTTTTCAGAAATATGGAGAAAAAAGAAAGGTGGACATAAAGTGTGTCTTTTTAAGAAATTGGGTCATGAGATTTGACTTTTGGACTGCCTGAATGGGATTTCCACATGGTGGTGGCGGTAAAGCACCTTGGTTTCTTCTTCCTCTGGAGGGATTGCGTCTTCCGTTTTGCAAGGCAAGGAAAAGTAGAAAATTGTTACTTATTGAGCTCCTGCTGTATCAGGCTTTTAAAAAAACTGCTTTCACTCATTTCTGAAAGTGTCCTGTGACCTTTTTCACAGCTGGGAAAATAGAGGCTCAGAGAATTTGGATGAGTTTCTCATACCCAAACATCTTGAGAATGCCCTGTTCTTCCCATTCTTTCATTCTTTTTTTCCTGCTTTTTTCTGAGACAGGGTCTCCCTGTAGCCCCTGCTGGCCTGGAACTCACTATATAGACCAGGCTGGCTTCCCAGCTTTTAATGAAAAATGTTTCACTGTACCAAGAAATTTATTTCAATGAAAAAATACACAGACACTAATGTTGAAATGTTACAGATTTTATAATACTCTAACAAAGGCTTTTAAATATCCATAATTCAGTTCCCAGCACCCACGTGGCTGCTAACAACCTTCTGTAACTCCAGTTCCAAGGGATCTTACATTCTTTTCTGGCCTCTACAAGCATTGCATGACATGGGTACCCTTATATACATCCAGGCAAAACATTTATACACATTAAATAAAAATAAAATTTTAAAAATTTAATGCTTCAATGCGCAATTACAACACACTGGGTACATATAAAAAATACAAAATCGGTTAAGAGCACTGACTGCTCTTGCAGAGGACTGGGTTCAAATCCCAGCACCCATAGGACAGCTAACAACTGTCTGTAACTTCAGTTTCCGGGGATCTGATGTGCTCTTCTGACCTTTCTGGGCATTGCACAACATGGGTGCACTTACATGCAGGCAAAATACTTGTACACATACATAGAAATAATAAATAAAATATTAAAAAATACAAAATCACAGCGAAAGAAAGCATCTGCAGCGAGAACAACAAAACCATAAAGAAGATGCTAATGGGATTTTTAGAATTGAAAAATGTAACAAACTGAAAATTTAGCAGATAGTTTTCACAGTAAGATAGACAAAACAAAAGCAGAAAAAAAAATCAGACAGCTTAAACCTAAACCAAGAAACACCATTGTGAGATTATTATAATGTTTTTAAATTATCCAAGAAGGAGGGAGAAAGAGGACAGAACTGAAAAAGAACTTCAAGAAATAATTACTAACTGTCCCAAGCTGAGGAATAACAACCTCCAGATTCAAGAACTGATTAAACACCAATAGAATCAACAAAAAGAAATCTGCTCCAAGGGACATTGTAATCAGTCTTCTGAAAAACAAAGAAAAAATAAAATCTTGAAAGGAATGCAGCTAAGAAATAATACCTAACAATATTGACAAGGGAAACATGTATTTATTTTTGGTCCTTTTGAGACAGGGCCAAAAATAAATAAATGTACCAGCTGACCTGTCACTCACTATGTGGACCAAACTGGCCTTGAACTCACAGAGATAAGCCTGCCTCTGCCTCCCAAGTTCTGGGATTAAAGGTGTGCACCACCACACCGGGCCTGAAAAGGGAAACTTTTAGAATGGCAAGTATCTCATCAGAAAAATAGCAAGGACCTAGTGGAAAGAGGTGCAACATTCTCGAGTGCTGAAGGAAAAGAACTGCCAACTTAGAATTCTGTATGTGATGATAAAAATGCTTCATTATTGCTGGGCGTGGTGGTGCACACTTTTAATCCCAGCACTTGGGAGGCAGAGGCAGGTGGATCTTTGTGAGTTCGAGGCCAGCCTGGTCTACACAGTGAGTTCCAGGACAGCTGGGGCTACAAGGAGACCCTGTCTCAAAAAAGACAAAAAAAAATACTTCATTATTGAAGGTATCCTCAAAAAATAAGGAATTTTATTAGCAATGTGTTATGAAGGAATAACAGAAGTATTTAAAGTAGAAAAGAATAAGGAACTTTGGAACACCAGGAAGCGCAAACATAGTAAATGAAAAGTAAATATAGTTGGCTTTTCTTTTCTTCTTGAGTTTTCTTAATTATGTTTGGTAACTGAAGGAAATTTTTGTTTTGATTTTTCTTTTCATTATTATATATTAATTGTGAAAATTTTTACAGTGCATTTCACATGTGCATGTAGCATACTTTGATCATATTCATCCCTATAACCCTCTTTTATACCTTTCCTCCCAGTTCTCTTCCTTTTCCTCTTCCCTATCAGATACTTTGAAGGAAACTTTCTAACATTATAGCATTATTTACTATATGTATTGAGAATATTTACGACATTTTAGAAATAAGGGAATGTAAAGAGAAATAAAAGTAAGGCTGTGTTCCACTAAGGCTGGTAATGTAGTGTTAGAAGATAATGATGAATTCTGTGTACATAACATATTATTGAATGCAAATATTAAAAATATTAGACAAAGAGATGTATTCAAAACCATTCAATGTAAATAAAAATGAAATGCTAAAAAATGTTGAATTCAGGGACTGGAGAGAGAGCTCAGTGTTTAAGAGTACTAGTTGCTCTTGCAGAAGACCCAGGTTTGGTTCACAGCACCCATTTGTTGGGTAACAACTGCCCATAACTCCACTTCTTGTGGATCAAATACCCTCTTCTGGCCATTTTGGGCATGGCATGCACTCAGTGCAACTGCAGGCAAACATTCAAATACATAAAATTAAAATAAAAAGATTTTTAAAAGTTCAGTTCCCACATGGAAAGTGGGTAAAGAGAACAAAATAAGCAAATAAATGAACAAACCTCAAATTAGATAAAATAAATAGGATATTTAAAAAGGAAGATGTAGATTTGACTTATCAATACTTCTATTAAAGGTAAATAATGTAGGGTTGTAGAGATAGCTCAGTGGTTAAGAGCAGTTGCTGCTCTTGTAGAGGACTGGAATTTAATTCTTAGCACACACGTAGAGGCTCACAGCAATCTGTAACTTCAGTTCTAGAGGATCCAATATCTTCTGGCTTCTGCAGGCATTAGGCACACATATGGTGCTCATAAATTCACATAATATGTACATATACATAAATATAAATAGATAAATCTTTTTAAAAAGTGAATAATATAAATACAACTAAACAGAGTCATAGAGTGAATTTATAAAAACAGTTCAATTATTTGCTGTAAACAACAAACTCAAAAAATGACACAGGTAGGTTTTGGGTGAAAAGGTGAGAAAAAAACAACTTGAAAATAATAGAGAGGGTTGGTGAGATGGCCCACTGGGTAAATGAATTCAAACCCAAGAATGCATGCAAAGGTGGAAAGAACGAACCAACTGCACAAAATTGTTCTCTGACTTCCACATGTGCACTGGGACACATGAGTCCTACCACACATATCAAGCATTCACATAAATAGTAATTTTTCATAAAAAAGAGTCAAAAGAAATAGAAAATCTCTCTTATCAAAGAAAATATACTTCAGTGTGAAAGCAATCCCTAGTGAAAAAGACAATTTACCCAGAATACACAGTTCTAAATTTGCACATACCAAACATGAATTAAATGAAACTTCTTGACAATTTTACAGTAACATACAGAGGTTAAATCACTTGTTTTACTAATTTAAAATAGAGAAAATTATACAAATATACACTTGATGTCCACATACGCACAGGTAATAGATATGAGAGGCATAGGGAAGGAAATAGCAAATTAAGATCATCTAGAGAAAAGAACTAGCATTTGTTAAGAGCCTAGTGATTTAACAGCTCTTGGCTCATTTAATCTTTAATATTCCCAAACATATGGAAAACATTCCAATTTTGTACATTACGACACTGCTATTCATGCAGATTAGACAACCTTTGTATGGTTACACAGCTCTCAAAGAAAGTATATCTTCTATTCACATGACACATATATTGCAGTGTCATTAAGTGCCTTTATAAATGCTAATAATCAAATTAACCATTACTCGACAGTTCTTTCAACTCTTCTAAGTTATGATTACTGCTATTCTAAAAGTCTTAAATTATAAGGAGAACAGTCTGTACTTTTAAAATGTTAATGTTCTTTGGGCTGA